TTTGAATTTATGCACAAAGCTACACAATGGGCTATATGTGCTCTGCCCACCACGGGTATCGGAACCAGATTTCTAGCGTTGTAAGTCCACAGACATACCGCTGTGCCACTGGGGGATTTTTTTTCGTTATAAGTAAACATTTAAATACTGAGAAATCAATGCATAAAAGTTAAGCTTGTAGTTGTTTATCGTCATATTTAGGAACCATTTTAAAACAAATGGTCTACTTTGTTAGGCGAACTGATTCAATGCTTTGCTCAAGCCAGAAAATCGAATTTTCTCATTCCCAACGAAGAGTAGGATTGACTGTCATATCGTAACATACAAATGGCTGAAATAGCGATGGATTTCGATCCCACGGACTGCGAGTCAAAAGCCCAAAGTAAAGTAAATATTCATACCATTGAAATATACGATAGTTTTCCTGTTCGTCAAACACTGTGCCTCATTTTTTTTCCTTCACCCATAAACTGTACAGAAATGTTAAAAAGTGCCTCATCCTAAAGAAAAAAGCTAATACTTATTGTTCTGTTAAAATTGCAAAACCTTTTTTTTTTGTTAATATTACTATATATACTTGTTTAATTGTTTGTTTGTAATTAAGCACAAAGCTACACAATGAGCTATTAGTGCTCTGCCCACCACGGGGATCGAAACCCGGATTCTAGCCTTGTAAGTCCGCAGACATTCCGCTGGGCCACTGGGGGGGCATATATTTGTTTAAAGAACGATTAAAAAAATTCGAACACATTACCCATCATCCCATTATTTATGCGACGTATTACCCCCCCACTAAGAATGTGTGTGCATATACGATTAGTTGACAAAGTATAAGGTACGTAACAAATATAAATATTGTCAAATTGATTGTATTGTTAACTACCAGGAAGTTATTACATAAATCTTGGTTTAACAAAACATGATTCATTACGACATTATATAAAAAGAATGATTCATTAATGATTCATCAATTAATTCATTAATTCAACACTAATTACTAATTAGTATTGACACTACACAGTATTGTTAAATCTTGTGTCTTCTTATTGATAGTACACATTATCGTTAAATCTTGTGTCTATATATACATAATACTGTTAAATATCAAACTAATGACTATGGTTCTAGAAGAGAAAATATTAAGATTACACTTTGATGTTTAAAAAGGAGGGGTAGATGAACGAATGTCTTTACCACGTTTCACATAAAAATCAAAACACTCTGATTTTAATGCAAGAAATTTACACAAACAGAACGCATACACGCTTGAATTTATATAAATATCTTTATTCATGATATAAAACTGAAAGTTACGAATTAAGTAAGGTAATGTGAAGTTGGCACACCTGGTATGCTCTGACGAGGGAGATATGAAGGGTAAAGGTAAAACTGTATAATTTGTTAAAACTTTTCTTTAAATCTGAAGTCACTTCTTTAAGTTAAGGATGCACACAACTAAAAAGTTAAACCTCATTTCATAGTAACGTATTCAAGAATTTATTTAATAATGAGAATACTGTAACATGACATAAAACTTCGTTAAATTTACTCCATATATTTGTGCAAGGTTGTAAATCTTAAAATACTCTTTCAATACACTCACACAAATTACTTCCGGATGTTAAGTATAAAATATACTTAATTAAGGAAATCTGGAACACTTCCATATCCTTCATATCAAAAAGCACCATTTGTAATAAAACCAACAACACTGGCTGAAAACAGAGATTATAAGGCTGTCACAAGTTTCTTTAAAGTTGTGTAATCAATAACTAAAAAAAAAAAAAAACTTTATAAATTCTTCACTACTGTAAACAATTGCTCATAATTAATATTCACAGCTTCTTTTACTTATCAAAACACAATTAAAAATGATTCAATTTTCTTCAAGTATAACACTTTTCATACTGTATAAACTTTGGAGATAATCACTCAAGATTTGAAGATGGATTAATGTGTTATATTCGTAGGAAAAATGAATTTGTACACTCAACAACATTACAAGTTTTTTGTTAAAGTTATATTAATGGAGTTTCACTTACTCTGTCAAATTATTGTCTACACTGAACACTTGAAGTTCAAAATGAGATTCTTACAGGCACATTCTAATAAATTGTATTTTAACATTTTCATAGAAATTTATCGACTTCTAGGGATTTTTCAATAGTTAAAGATAAGTAACATTCATTTTAAACAAAATACTTCATATACAGAAGAGTTTTGTAATACTATCACTACCTTAAAAAAAATTGTGAACTCTCTGCAGAAACGAAAGTCACATAAAAGAGGAGATACCAGTATCTGTTATCTCTCTTAAGAGATTTAGTTCACAGCACGTTTAAGAAAAGTTAACAAGTGAATTACCTTTAAGCTTCAAACTGCCCACAAGTGCAACCTTTTTAAGCACCTCTAATGATGATCCAAATAAAAACTAACTTTATAAAATATTAGTTGGGGTCTGTTTTGGATTTTATTTCTTTATCAGTATTTTTTAAAAGTGATATAAAGTTTTTGAAAGAAAGGTATTCAACTTTTACAACTTTATTACATATTAACATTGCACTTTGCTTCATTTAATACACAATTTTTCAAATCATACACTTGTTTTTATATATATACAACTTTTACAGTGCACCCACTGCTTAGGAAACGCCCTTAAAATAGTTAATGTTGTATCTCTTAAAGTTTCAAAATAAAAGTAATACTTCTGTTTCTGTTTATAAACCGTGGAAGACAATTTTAACTATAAATTCCATTTCACCTCCAGCTTGCTAGAAAACTTACATTTAGTGAATAAAAGCTTTAAATGCATAAAACTAGTGAAAAAATAATCTTTAAGTAATTCAATCAACATTTACAACAAACTAGTACTGGATCAAAAATATGTTTTTGAAATCTGGAAAGTAAATATTTTTGTACACATCTTATAACAAAATTAACTTTATATACAGTATTTGGCCACCATTTCTTTCACACAAGTTTATCATTATACAATACTTTATGATAATAACAAGTCACTTGTCTATTGATTTGCCTATCTTATATATTAACATCACTAAAGGGCTAGAGTGACTTGTTAAAATAAACAAGATTACTCAGTAATTCTTCTGAAAACTCACCAGGACAAGATTTAGTTTGTAATTTTGCTCATTTGGTAAGTGCTTTCAGCCAATTGTGCTGTGGAAAACTGATGATAAACAGATGAATTTTACATGTTGACTGGCAAAGATAACTAATCCTGCCAAATTCTGTCCCTTATAATCAGTGAAAACAGGCATGTGACATTTGTTTTAGAGTAGTTCAGTTAGCTACAGAAGCAGCACATTCAGCAGACTGAGGTTCAAATTCCAACTGGTTTCAGTTTTAATTTCTTCAGAAAAATTCCTAACTTCAAACAATAGTGTCATCCTTAATATTTTTACAAGACTATTCCATATTTATTTAAATATGTACTTTCAGAATGTTATATGTTACAGATCTTAGATAAAAAGTAAGAATTTATTTAAGAATTACCAAGTTACTACTGCATCAAAGATGATTAGCCATTTTGAAGGAAGGTAACACTGTGAATGAATATAAAGTGATTACAGAAGTAAAAAAATCACCAAAGTACTTAATTTTTCTCCTTACGACCACCCTTCAAAAGCAATCAGATTGTTTTCGAGTTTGTGAATTTAATTATAATTTTACTTTTAGATAGTGAACTAATGTAATAAAAACTGTGTCATAATTTCCCTTCCTTCTTTACTTCTGTTAATAATATTTCTATAATTTCCAAAACATTAAAAAAAAAAAATTGACAGCTTTCAGTTTACTCTTTCATGATACACTCGTTTCATAAGTGCTCTAATCAACTGGTCTGACAGAAACGGTAAACAGTAATATCCATTGAGTCAATGTTATGGAGTCACACAAGTTATGCAGTACATTTGTATGAACATCTATAACAACTTGAAGAGGTTTTAATATTTGCTATAAATTACACAAACTAGAGAATCATATCTAAGTTGCTGACTCAAAATGTTTTAACACATTAGAAAGGACATTGAACTGTTGGAAAGGGTTCAGAGGAGAAGTACTTGAAGGATACCAAGGATGAAAAGGTTGTCATATAAGGACAGGTTTAGATCTCTTAAATCTTGAGAAAAGAGTTAAGAGGGGATCTGATTAAGGTGTTTAAGGGAACTGATAGTGTTGATGCCTCTTTTTTCTTTCATACTTAATGATGAGAATGGTAGAACTAGGGGACAAATATAAATTTTGGCAGGGTACGAGTCATCTTTATTTAGGACAGTTTTATTTTTCTAACACAGTAGAATAGGTTGCCTTTAGATGTGGTGTATGCAGTTAATGTAAGGGAAGGCATGATAAATATTTGAACAACAAGTGCCGAATTTGAGTGTTTTATTTTTAAAGTTTAGTTTAGAGGATGGGATAGCCTAGATGGACCAATAGGT